TAAGCCACGGAGGAATGCGCGCCACCACCGCTACACCTCCTTTATCTCATCATCCCCCCGCAGCGGCAGCTCAGGCATCTTTTCCACCGCCTCACGGGACGCGCAGACACCCACCCACCCTTGGCTGTGGCGTGCAGTCATTTTCTCCGTTTTGCGATTCGATTTCCTCCGATATTGCGGCAACCGAGCGCCGCTAGAATTTTCCATTTGCCGGAATAAGAGAACGAGGAGGATACCGGCGTCGCGCTCACCAATTGAACGGAGCACTCTGGATTATCCCCATAGTCTTCGAACGCGCCCCGTTATTCTCACGAGCCTCTCCACACCCGCGCTTTTGCTTCCTTCTCCTTCTTGCATTTTTCCTCTCCACGTATATAATATGTACATGTTTTTTTTTTTTTATATTATAGTGCTCTACGTCCGGCTCCTTTAATAAGGGCACTAGCACTTTAGAGAAGAAAGGGAAGAGGGATAGGGGGCCTCCCATTACTTGGAAGGGTGGTAGGAGGAATTAGGCAATTTTGCTGCTAGGAAGTCACCTAAACCCTCCTCGAGGAGCATTGCGTGGTGAAAAAGCACATGTGAACAATCACAGAAGTACTTGCCCGACAATGTCGCACTGGCCGGGAATCGAACCACGGTCTCTCCTCCCGCGTGCCAATCCACAACCTAGCCGACTGAGCCACCGCGCGCTCTCTTAATATGTACATGTACGTATATATACTCATGCAGAAGGGGAAGATGAAATTAGTTCCGTCTACTTGACCCCGTCCCGATGCGCGTGCCCTTTTCTATCAATTATCGCTAAATGCAGTAAGGGATGTACATACGTGATTGCTAATTACACGGGGACCGAGTGGGGGGAAGAACAAAAAAACACGCGACGATAGAGACAGTGGGTGGGAAAAATTGATTATCGAAAATCGATGGTACGGCCGGGGCCATGTGGGTCAGCTCGCGCATAACAAACGAGCCACACTGGCTCTGGGCCGCAATCCAACGCAACTCGAATAATCATTCGAGATTTCAGAGCCACCCCTGTACCGTACCGCTGTTCTCTAATATATGTATACTATACGCGTGTGCCCCGGCTGTGTAATCGAGTTTACGGAATTGTACGTTCGCTCGATTAATTGCCTCGATTCGACAGCCCCCCCCCCCACCGTACGGTAGCTACTTTCGTTTGCGCGTAATCCCGTGAATTTTCAATCAACCGAGGCATTCACAAAATTCACCTGCGTTTGTACGTGCCGTGGAAACCTCCCGTGGCATATTATACATCATGCAATACATTTTGCCGTTTGGATGCGCGACAAAATTAATAGTTTCTCCTCGGCATTGAGCTTAGTTTCTCAAAGTTCAACCCGGGGAGGCTCCGTTCGCGTGACAAATGGTACGGTTGACTTGTTCCGAAATGCGGCTTACAGCCTCCTGTTGTCGTTGTCGCTGTTGCTTATTGTATAGCGTTGAGACGATTAATTTGGTGCACGGACTACAGTTGCCAATCGCTTGTTTGTCATGGAGTTGTTTGGGGAAATTTGTTATCTGGAATTAAAAAAAAAAAAAAAGGCTCTGTCTTATTATGTATTGGAGAACGGTACTATTGGGAGTCTTTGGTCAAATTACTTCTTCCAATATAGTAAGACAACATGATCGAGTACCTCAAAGATTTGATTCGAGAGTGTAAACGTTTACCCAATTACGTTGTACCCAATACGGATCCTCAGCAAAGTATTACATCCTAATCTAATCTTGTTGGTCAAACATGAAACTGGGAGGGCCGGAGCAAAACAAGTAGTAAAAGCACAGTTTGGTCAGCCCCACGCTTCAACCCTCAAACGTACGGGCCGTCGTCGGTCAGTCGGCCACGTAGTCTTACCTAATTCATAACTCGGATCACAACAAGGCCTCGTCCGGCCAGTATGTCCCTACACCCTGTCCGAAGTAAACGGCGTACCTCGCCCCATAGTTGCACCGACAACAATGCTACACGCGTCAAGCTCCATTACCAACCCACAGCTCTCTCTACTGTACGATACGCATCTCGGACGTGGAGTCTGTGTGCTGCGTTATCTGCACAGGTATACACCGCGTCCAGCTCGTTGTACGTCACACGGGGCGGGGGGGGGGGGGGAGCCAGCGTCGCGTGACGACGGGCTCAAAGACGTTTCCTCCTGTACGTGTACACGCACGAGTATACACGGCCAAGGGACCAGGGAGCCTGATTAATTACGGGCCAGAGTTCCTCCTCCCTGGGCTTTATGGTATTCCTCAGCGTCCGGTAGGGTCCTGATGTTGAAAGACCCCCTTTAGCCGGTAGGTAATACGTAGGTGTACGACTCGGGCATTGTTCGAAAGACGAGCAAGAAGGCCGGCTCTCTCTCTCTCTGTGTGTATATTATACCTGTGACAACTTACTGCGGGGCTCTGTTCTCGCAGCTGTTGCCCCGCGAGCGCCTTTCCTCCTCCCTCCGGAGGACCCTGTCCTGTGGGTACGCGTCTCTTGCTCGCTGTACCCCCTGGAGAGCACACGGACACGTAGCTGCAACGGAGAAGGATGAGCTTGTTTGTATGTTTTTTTTTATACCCCGCGCAACTTTTTGCTCCTGAGGTGGGGTATACAAAAACAGCTCGTTCGACGCGATACGGATTTTATTAGGGCGCACACTCGGCCGGTTTACCTCTCCCCGGGGCTCATTGTCGTTTCTGCACAACTTCGTATCTCGGCGCTGGAGAAGTTTAGATGTGTGTTTATACGATGCCCGCAGCGACTGGGCTCGTTTGAGGTGGGAGGGTTGCGGATGTTTCGTTCCTTTCTCTCTTGGGGTAAAATATTGATTTATCACAGGAACTATAATGCACCAGTCCGTCGTTCGCAAAACGCGCGCGACATGCGGATTGAAAAAAATTAAGTGCTACGTGAAAGACAAGCCAAAAGTTAATTACGCCCCAAAAAAGATTATCAGCTTTTTCTAAGTGACATGTACGAGAGAAAAAAAAATGCGGGGTATTTGCGTGGCAGGCATTGTCGGCTGAAAATAACAGCATAAAGGACTCACGAGAGCGCGCGGATGGAAAATCACCGTCATCGTTATCCGCCGGCCCGTAGGTTTTATATTATACGCTGTAGCAAGCGAGGTGGTAATCTCTCTCGAAATGAAAAAAACAAAAATCACGGGGGCGCACTCAAATCCCCCTTGGTGCTCGACATACAGCGAAATGATAAATTTTTACACGTGACAAATTCAATTGATATACAACACTGTAAGCTCAACAAATAACATGTAGGGGATGAGGGGGTGAAAGGGGCGCGATGCAACGTTTGATGTAAACGAGGGATACGCGAGGGAATGATACCGAAAAACCACAGCTGGTGCGAGGGTTTTCTTATCCACCCCCGGCCGCGTGTCCCGCGCGCTCATGCATTATGCACCGGCTTATTTTCCTTCCCTGAGAGCCGGAAGCGAAGGATGGCTTCCCCCCGCTCGTGGGTGATTTTTCATCGTCGGACCGGCTCGTGCTCGCGATGCGCGATGGACGCGCGCTCTTTTCTCGGGCATTTTCTTCGGCTTTGCATGAGGGATGAATCGGGATGACGCGGCGTTGGGGGGAAAAATGGACTCTGCGTATGTAAAGTGCTCTCGGACGAGCGAGTTTGCCGGGAATTGCCATTTGGAAGTGAAAATTTCCACCCCTCGGCTAAACTCAAGGTTTGTTTGTTTGGTTTTTTTTTTTTTCCACGAGCACTGTATAATATAAACAAAGGAAAAGTACAGTAAGGAGCTTTATCTCCCCCCCCCCCCCAAAAAAAATGCGATTAAAAGTTTGATATATTCAAGTGAGGCTACAGTGACAGTCTCTGTAATAGAAACAGCTATACACTCGTTGGGGTAAACAAATACTTTCCATGTAAATACAGCGCGGCGGAAAAGGCAAACTTTGACCGCGTTGCGCTTCGGCTCTCCCATCCCACGGCCTCCGATAAGAGGATTAAATTTTTTCCGACCTTCCGGCTACATTTGCGTATTCCCTCTCGTGGGGGAGAAAAAGTGTATGCTAATACAATTCGCGGTATCCGCAAAAATAAACGCACGTACAGTTGGTACAACCGCACGTGTTCGCGCTAAATAATGTCGAAAACAGATGCCCCTCGAGATTACTCGGAGACTTTGGAACCCCTCGGTGTGGAATCGTTAATTCGACTCCACCGAAAAATCTCAAAGATCGCGATCCTCCCGGTGAATATTCGATCTTGGAGTCCCGCTAACCAGACGCTTCCTCCTTGCGATACGTTTGCCGTCCACCGCAAACTATACCCGCTGAGCCCCCCTCGGTCGCTGACTTTATTTCCATTTTACGGGGCACGAAGCTCGAGCGGTGCTCATAAATTCCTCCCTTTGCCTCCATCCGCGCGGGCACAACTGCCCTTTATCGCCCCCCCCCCTCCGGTTGTGCGTGTATACACGCAAAAGCACCCTCGAGCGATAAAACCGAGGAGTCCAGCTGACGCAACGAAAGGTGGGGCTCGTACACACCAGCTCCCGTTCCCCGTAAAACCACAAATGCGATTCCACCCACTATGGTGCACGCATATATACATAGATACCCGAGAGAGCAAACGCCGCAGACAGATAGCGGAAATGAAGCTCGAGATGAGGCTCTATACCGTTGTATGAATATGTACCCCGAGGTGGGAGGATTTGAATAATCCCGCGAATCGATGTCGGCGCCACTCTCTCTCTGGAGTAGAGGAAGAGGGGGGATAACTTTTTCACGACTGCGATTCGAGGCCCGTAGAGCGCAACCCGTACCCGAATGCTAACGAGGCTCTTTAATCGCTCTCGCGGTGATCGGAGCCTTTTTTCCCCCACTATCGCCGTTTCGAGCTGTGCGATTCCAGTACCACACACGGTGGATGTTATCCGTGGTGATGAAAAATTCTGGAATGATAATGATGACGAAAGTTAAGCGTGAGGTGTTAATTGTGTTATCTGTTTAAGGACGAGGAGTGGTGCTGGACAGCCAGGGTCCGGTGTTGGTGTCGGAGCCGCGCAACTCGGTCGAGTTCTCGAACGACACGGGGGCGATGGTCCACTGCTCGGCGAACGGGAGCCCAATGCCAAGGGTCGACTGGCTCATGGGTGACGGCTCGCCCGTACATCCGATTCCCAACATACGGGAGATGCTCGTCAACGGGTCCATGTACTTTTTGCCCTTTGGCGCCGAGAGTTATCGCCACGACGTGCACTCGGCGGTGTACAGGTGCCAGGCGTCAAACAGCGTTGGCCGAGTACTGGGCCGAGAGGTGTCGGTCAAGGCAGGTCAGTCGGATACTTTGGTTTTTTTTTTTTTTTTTTTTTTTACATAAAACAAAAAATATACCATGCACACCCCAAATCCGAAAACAATTGGACGTGCCAACCGTTGCTTGGTTACGCGCTTCCAGTGGAATGGAAAGGGATTTCTCGACCGTGGCATTATGTATCTATGGGTAGGGCTCGGGTATGAACGGAATGGAATTTTAACCAAAAAGCCGCGGAAGGTAAGACGAATGATGTCAGTGACGTTGCCCATCGCCGTCGAGTTTACATACATGTACACATAAATTATATAATGGAGGAAGAGAGGTTCTGTAATACAAGTGACTTCACATGAACTTACGGTGATGAAAAACATGAAATAAAATACATTAGGAAAACTAAAAAAGATCAAAAACAATAAATGATCATGTTCGATTGATTCCCTTTTTTTCTTCTGTTACCGATGCTTGGATGTAACGAAAAAAATTGAAAAAAACGTCTAATTGATTCGCGATGGCATTAAAGCTCAAACCGATTGCAAAATTTTGTATTCTAGTAGTAAAATCCGTTTGTGGTCAGACAGTATCATCAGAGTAACAAAATGTAAGAATTTCTTGCGAAATGACCTGAGAAAACATGCCACTCTCAAAAATGTAATATATTAATAAAGTAACGTGAGTAAAATGAGCAAATTTTAAATTAAATTGTTTCCGGTAATTTTTCGCGCGACCCACACATTTTTCATAAAACATACAGAATAGAGCCCCGCACAACCAGGAATGTCCACATCTAATCAACATTTTCCAAGCTTCAGATTTCAAGATGAAAAATAATGAAAAATTTGTACATGCCACAGTGGTCCGACAAAAGTACGAGGTCCAGGTGCGCGACGCTTACGTGCTGTCGGGCAACGCGGGCGTCCTCAGATGCGAGATACCAGCCTTCGTCAAGGAGTACGTGTCGGTCACCTCCTGGGTCCAGGACTCTGCCTACAACATATATCCCACACCAGACAGCGGTAAGTCCACACACACACACGCGTGTACAGATATACAACTACTTTACACGCCCGCGCATATACTTGTATCCGCTGTAACAAAGCTTTTCATTAACTATGCGTCTGACGCGTCCGCGTTAAACAAGAGAGCTGCTGCTCCGGGGCCACCGAGACGTGGAATATTAAGTTTGGAAGTGCACTCGCGTCCTCCTGTGTGTGTGTGGGGGGGTGGAGTAAAGCGTGGTTCCGACAACTCGAAAGTTACGAGAGGAAGGGATGCTCCCGGGAGGGAAAGACACCGCAGCAGCGCAGCTGGGAATAGAGAGAAGAGCAGTGTGTGCACCATTACCAGGGTGTAACTGTCGGTTCGTGGAGCCGTCTTTGCGTCATGTACGAGGAGAGGCCTCGCGCGGTGGGAGCCATACCGCGAATCAACGAAAACTTACACCCCAACGGAGTGCTGCGTTTCTCTCTTTTACGGCTTCGTCCGCCACAAACGCGAATTCGTCTCTGTTCTCTCGTGCAGGTATAGTTTTACGTCGCTCTCGATGTATCCACCCCCCTTCCCCCTGCGTATGTCTGTTTGTCTGTCGAGTGCACCCGCGCCCGATCAATCATTCACGAGCTGCTGCTGCGACTGTACACGATCGTCACTTTTTGGAAAATCACTCGGTACTCGCTATACGGCTGGATGCGATTTGAGGAACCTCTTTCACGCTGCTGTACATAGGATATCGCGGTGGGAGCGACCTTTTTTTCGAGAGTGAAAATATGGGAAACGGGGTCGGTTACAGTTAACCACGACAACCGTACCTTTTATGAAAAAAAAAAAAAAAAAAAAAAAAAAGACGAAAAAAAAAANACACTTATAAAGGAGCTATTTCTTTTAACCTACGTATATTCAAAACAGCATAAATGTGTGGAAACCTCGTTAACTTTTGATAATTGAGTAAAAAAAAAAAAAAAAAAAAAAAGAGAGAGAAAGTGAGACAACTACAAGCTTCCGGGATAAGATGATCCGTACAAATTTGCGATCTCGCGTGCCCGAGGCTTGAATAATGCACGAGGTTGGGAAGCCTTTGCTTTTAATTTTTGACGATGTACCGATAGAAAAAAAACTCGCTTACGCGGCGCGCGCGTGTTTGGCATAAACGTGCGCTAGGCTAGGGAGGTGGGGTGTTTTCTTTTCCACCCTCTAGTGGAGCTCGTTGTTTTTTTGATGAAAATTAAAAATTCATCCTCGAAAATAAAATGCAAATGCGAGTCTGCTCCCTTCTTTTATTTCCCCCTTTCCCCCATTTTGTTTACAGTCGATGGAAAAAGCGCTGAGCGAGGCGGCGGAAAAATCTGGGGTATCCGTACCCTCACTTTGCCCATGAGAGCACACGGACAATAGGGTTGATGGTGGTGGAGGAGCAAGAGACGCGACGATCGGATGTAATACCGCGAAAACCGCCGCGACAGCGATATCGCCTCGACAATTAGATTTCTTGTCCGCCGAGCTGAGCAGTTGCTTTCTCTGCTGTCGTGTGAGCTTCTGGCGTTACCTCGGGTCCACCATTTACTGTAAAAATCTGGATTTTTCATTTATTAAATTAGAAAACCTCTTTAAGCGTGTTCAAGAAAGAAATGATCTCTTGTTACTCATTCGTACAAACTTTGTGGAAAGTGCTTGCGGAAAAGCAACAAGAGCTACCTCTGAACTTGGGAGGAAATATTTTTTACTCAAAAGGGAAACCATACGAATTGTAATAAGCAACTTTTAGCGACATAGGAGAGGTAAGGTTTTAAAAATCAAAAAGATGCTGACAAAAGATCGAAATCCACGTGCGTACATGCATCAGAGACAATTATGTAAATGTACAATGTCACGATGAAGATCCATGCAGTATACGGTTACTTGTTATTCCACGCGGATACTTTTTACCTCGCTCGGCGGATTTTCTTTCTCCGTCTCCAGCTGTGCCGTTTTCTCCCGGTTCTTTTGTCGAGCGATAAAAGCGGAAGTGAAAAAAAAAAAAAAAAAAGCCCAGAGAGACGGCACCCGTGATTTGCGGGCGCTCAAGTGCGCCATTGAAATTGTTTAAAAGCTCGTTCGTTATTCGGCGCTTTTTTTTCCCTAACCGCGCCAGCAATGTTTCTCCGTTTGCGACCCCCCCGCCCGTACCGCCAGTCTACTCCCTTCGTCTCCTAAGTAGAGTAAATGTCTCTGGAGCGCACCTTTGTGCCGCTGTTTTTCACAAACAACTTTTTAATCATTATTCATGGATACAGACTACGAGCTGCGGTAGTTTTTATTTTTTTTTTTTTTCGTCATTCGAGAGACAATACACTCATAATTCACGAGTTTGTAATTACTTTGTGGGTGCAAACGATTTGTTCCTTCAGCGAGAGACTGTTTGCATAAACAACGTGATAATTGAGTAAAAAAAAAAAAAAAAAAAAAAAGATCTCTAATGCAAATTGTTTGTCGCACAGTCAACCACAAAAATGCTCTCTCTCTCTCTCTCTTTCTAAATAATAATTTATAGTAATAATTCTAAATAATAATTATAAATAATCTTTCTAATAAATCTAAATCTAAATCTAAATCTAAATCTTTCGAGATCGTAAACTCCCCGGCCAAAGAGGCCGTGGGTGGAAAAAAGAGGTGTACACACGTCCGGAATCTGTTGCGCCTGCCGGTACACACTCGGAGATTTCCGGTCTCGCGCGTCTTCTCTTTTTCCCACGCCCCCCCCCCGCTGGGTTACACTCCCGCGTCGTGCCGAAAAGATTGAGAGCCCGTCGAAGAAAAGGAGAAAAACGAGAGGAAAAAGTTTTGTAAAAGACACACAAAGAGAGAGAGAAAGAGGGAGCTATTTTCCATAGCGGGGGGGGGGCGACGAGCTGGATGAATTTATTACGTAATAACTCCCGCATTCCTGCATAAATCACCGTGATTTGCTACTACCCGCGCGTGCCCGACGTAATATGCATCCCCTTCGTGGGGAGCTATACAACTGGCGAGAGAGAGAAAGTGGGATCAAAGTTTCCGATGCTCGCTCGCGCTCTTCCCCCAAGTAATTTCAGCTTTCTAACGAGTTCGTCGCATCTGTCTGTGTACAATACGTGTATCTACGTGTACGCACTGCTGCTCGAAAATCCCAGTCCACCAATGTATCTCGCAGCGATGTTAATTTTTCTTGCACTGCATCATTGGTTAATTACGATGATTTGGATTCTTTTTTTTTCATCTATGTGAGTTCTACATGCAAATTCCGGGAACACGCTACCCTTTTTTTTTTTTTTTTTTTTTTCTTTCTGTACGTTTTTTCACAGAATATTTGCCACACAATCTGTTGAAGTCACTGCGATACGCGCTCAAAAGAATTTCAGAATCTGTACAACAAATGTTTTTTCATCGAAAGCTCTGGACTTTTGGTAAACACGGTACCAGTGAAAAAGGGCAAAATCGTTTGCATATTTCACGCGCGCATATTTGCCAACGTGAAAAATTAATATCCCGTGGCGGGAAAATTCCATTATTTTTACACGGGCGATTCGATAAAGTTCGCAAACGCGGAAAAAGCGAGATTTCGCGGAGTACGCGGGAAATATTTTTTAGAGCAAACGCCAAAAAACACGCAACCAGCCTCGCGCACACACACAGAGTCCGGCGAAACGAACAAGCGAACGAAAAAAAGAGAGGTGCACTTTTAATTTTCCGCTTCTCCGGGTATGCGCGCAAATGTACCCGGCCGAGAATTAAACACCAAACACGCGCCCCCCCCCCGTTTTTCTCCCAATCAAGGTAACGCCGGCTCATCGACGAGCAAAAATACACGCGGAACTGCAAAAACGCGCTGCCCATCGTAATCTGCACCAACTCCCTCCAATAGAGCTAATGGAGTAATAATACCGCGTGGAAAAAGAGAGGGAGGGATAGAAAAAAACGCCCACGCGTGGGTATATTTGCGCGCTCGTTTATCTCGTTCGTGCCTCGGGCTATGGCTCCGCCATTTAGAGATTGCGAGGCAGAAATAATTCGGGACGAATCTGTCGAGCGTGTAAATAAGGTCCGTCGCTTGGTCACGGCTTACGAATGATATTTTCCAAACGAGCCTGCCGCAAGTGACTTTTTTTTTCTCCAACGTTCATTCGTCAATCCCGGCGCAAATTAAAAAATACGAGACAAAAGCTTACATTCCGGTCTCTCTCGCGGGGGAGGTGCATAAAAAAGGCCATTGTTTACCCGCGGAGTCACCGTCGCCGGGGTGGAGCTGATATTTCTCGCTCATCCTCTCGACCCCGGCGATGAATCGACTTTTAAGGACCCCCGCGGTCCACTTTGGAGAATTGATCTTCCCATTATTCCCCGAGCACTTGTGCCTGTCGATCAATGCCCTCCTCCTCCTGCAAATCTCTTTCTCATCCGAGCGTTTTTTGCCCTCTCCTCTCTAGTCATGACTCATTCCGCGACACACGCGCCCGTTTATCCAACCGCGGGGATTTGCATGTAAAAAGCGGGACAATCGAGAGAAAGGACTTTCAGCATGTGGGTTGGTAGCTACCGTGTGACCCAAAGGGGCACAATGGAAAAATACCGGGGTGTAACTCATACACGCCTTGACGGGGGATTAGGGCGTAATATAACCCGGAAGATCGCGAATTTTAATCTAACGCGATGCCCTCATTTTTCATTAAAAAAAAAAAAAAAAAACTACTCTGCTAAACGAGCGTGCTTTTAAAGCTCACCCGTTTTTCATCTTTGACTTTGTTGCACCGGTTTTGCACGACTCGGCTGTCGTTGAGGTTTTAAAATCATTTCCGTTTGACGAGAGTCGGACTTTGTTTCCAGCTCGTGCGCCCGTACTTTGAATTGTAGGAATCGCTAAAACGACGAAACAGAGAAAAAAAAATCATATGCTCCTAGTTTGATCTCAAATAGTAAAAGTTTCGCGATCAGAGAAACTCTAATTACATTGTGCATACCGATTGCTCATTGTTGAACTCACGACCCAGCCCAAGCCTGTAGTTGGGGCTCTGTTACGCATCAGGAGGCCATTGCACGTAAACTATGCAAATTATGAAAGTTTTCATGAAATACTTATTAGCGCAAAAAGCCCCAATATACTCGAAAGCGTTGAACAATCAATGGCATGTAATAATGACCTTGTGTTGTGTTCCAGATGGCAAGTACCACATGCTACCGACTGGCGAGCTCCTCGTGTTCAGCGTAACTTCGGCCGACGCTCACGCCAGCTACCGTTGCCGCACCGTCCACCACGTAACCGGCAGCACAGTCGAAAGTTCCTCCTACGCTCATCTAGTCGTTACTGGTACGTCTCTCCCCCTCTGTATTTACCGTATGCTACACAAGCAACTCTCCCCGTGTAATATCCCATCGTCATCCTCTGTCCCGTCAAACTCTAAACTCCCTCCAACGTGCGTATACGTATAGTTTGAGTTGAAAATCGATCGAGAGCCCACGAATAGAAGCTGGGGGGGGGCTCCTCCCTGTGAATATCGTTTCGGCTACTTGATTAGTACCGCGTGTATACGCGCACGGGGATACCCGGCTAATTGAGACGCCCAGGGTCGAGAGCTTTCAAAGGAGGTGGACAGCCTCTGTTTATTCATCGCTGGACAATGCGTCCAAGAATTCAGGGGCTGGTCATACATGCACACGCAAGTGCGGTAAAAGCAGTCCCCCTTTGATGCTTTAAAAACGAGCCTTTTTTCATTCTTTATCCACACTCCTTTGGTACATCCTCTTTTTTTTCTCATCAGATTTTGTTCAGAGACGGCACAATGACTCGCTTTGAATTGACGAAGCACGAGGCAACGGATACAAAAATAACAACAACCGGGCGATTCCACAGCCCCGGCAAAAACGTCGCAACAACTTCAAACGCAATTACACGAGCTCCGCGCCGGCTCGACTGTGTATCCCCGAAGGAAACGCGTTTAACCGCGTTACAAGTCGAATCGCGGGAACGAACAGTGCGCGCGTGGTATTATGTCAGCTAGTAAAATAATTAACCGCAACGTAGCGCAAAATGAAATTCAGCGTTTCCGTTTCGCGGATCACAGCGTATCACGGGCTTTTGACTCCCCCCCCTCCGGTGCGTGTACACAGATACGAGCGCGCAGCTGAAAATCAAGACGAATACACAGTGTTCCCGGCTGTATGAAGTTACGCGCGAGGCAACAGCTGCGGGGAAACTAATTTAATACGCGAGTCGAATAGCTGCCGCCGCGACGGCTAATCAAACAAAGTTCCCCCCACCTGGAAAATGTGGGTGATTTTCAGCGACGCGCGCGTACGTGCGAATGATTATTACGTCCCGGGCTAAGTGTGCTGTCATTGTGTCGTGCGTTGGAGACGTCGCCGACTGCGCCTGCTTTCGTGACTGTGCTATTACGACTTTCACGCTATATTTGGAGTAGAATGCGTTAATTTGCAACTTCGCGAAGGCTAAAACTTTCTTTTTTTTTCCCCCCTACTTTTTCAACGGCTTTCCAAAGTAAGTAGTGGTACGAGCGTTCGGTCAGACGTCGGTGTTTATCTGAAAACTCGCGATGAATATCAGGCTGAAAGTTATTAATGGCTCGAATAAAAGACTTAAAAGAGTATACGTTGATGCTGTACAAGCTCGAGGTGGTAAATATCGGCCCAAGACATCGCAGTAAAAATTTCAGTGAAAATATCAACGTATGGTCAGACGTCCGTCCCGTGTGAATGTTTAAGTGAGAATTGCTGTTGGGTTTAAAAACAACTAAAATTAAATAAGATATTTTTGTAGGATAATACTTTTGAGTGGTAATATCAACGTTTCGCTAAACGTCAATATTTTTTGAGCTTCGTGTGGTGAGTATCGAAGTGTACGTTAATGGTGGCTCACAAATAGTATAATTCAAGAAAACGATTAAGGTTACGTGAAATAGTGCATAAAAAGATGCAGAGTTTTATTGGGATTCATTCAACGCAAACATAGAAACGATTTGATACGCAATTGAAAATACTTGGATCAGCCTCGTATTTGGTACGACATGTGATTCGAACGAAAAAAATAGACGATTCAGTCCCATGAGAATCAGCAAACCGTGTCCTATACGCTTTTCCTCATCGCCAAGCACCGAGTTATCGGTAAATTCGCGGAGCAAACGTAAAAATATGCTCGCTTGCTTTTTTTTTCTCAAAGCAGCGTGTATAGAGCAGAAAGGTAAGAGAAAATCACGCTGAGCACCAGTGGTGTACAGCGCCTCGTTAGCTGGAGGCAATCAGTGGGCCGCACTTATCAGCAGCCAGAAAAGGCACTGTGCGACAGCAGACCCTGGCAAAGTTCCTATCTGGCAGGATCGTCGCTATACAGGTAATGTATCTAGTGTGCTCCGGCACTTGTGCGGAATATAACGGTAAAAAGGTGCACCATCGGCAACCACAGCACAGTGGCCAACCAGTTTTCTCCATCGCCTCTTTTTCGTCTCGACTCTTGGCTGTTGAAGAACAAAAATAAGAAACGAAGGAAACTATTGGACATCGACCAGTGCTCAATGAGTTTTTAGAGTAGATACCCGAGTACATAGACGAGTCAAAGTAGGACCTTTTACCGAAAAAAAGATACACGAGATATTCTCGTAAATAAACAGTCATCTGAAATATAAAATAAAAATTTGTTAGTCAAAACATGAGGGCTAAACATTATTCATCGCCACTTGAATCAATCAGTAGTTTCAAAATTAATTGTCAAAGTAACGTCTCCTCCGCTACAGTTTGCTACGTATACATAAAATTTGTAACACTTCTCTAAACGACCACAGAGTGATTCGCCACACTTAATCGCACACGCGCATCCACGTAACTCGTACACATGCACCAAGGTATGCGCTTAGTAGAGCGTGTACAAATAAATGCTCATGAATATCATGGATGGCCATAAAGTCGTTACGTAGGTATAAGTCAAGGGGCTTTGATCAAACTATATATCTCGGTGAATCGTGTTATACGCGTGTACTGGGTGTGCATCTGTACACGGTGCAGGTGCTTACCCGATATTTACAAAGTGACAGGTGAAAGGGCCCCTATAAACCGAAACTCCCTTCAAACGCGCCCTTAAGTACGTATACGTGTATTATATACCGATGGTACGTTTAGCGGTAAGCCCACACGAGCGTAAATATATATACATAAGCTCCCTTCGACCTAGTTCCGTTTAAGGACGGGGGGGGGGCTCTCGGTTCGCACACGTGTCCCGGACCCTCCGTTGTTAGCGGTGTGTTAATCTCGTTACACGCCGATGACGCACATTCACAAGGGACAACGATGTTACTCACAAACGCGGACAAATAAAAATTCGTTGTCGCTTTTTTTTTTTTTTTTTACCAGTTTTCACAATCGGATTCGCACGTATAGAGGCCGGGGTTTTCGTTGATTTTCCTCTTTATTACTTTTGATCCCCATCGCGACATCACTTTGAGGATTTTTATACGCCGCTCCTTTTTTTTCATCAGCTCTGCCAAATTAACCGATCGGCCGTTCCGTGTTCCCCCCCCCCCCAAAAAAAAACATCCAGTTTTCTCAGTGATGTTAAAATTAAAAATATAACCATTCGTGCGTGAAACGCAAGGGTAAAACGATGGCCGATCACAGATAATGTGTATATAGGTACACACTGGAGCAAATATTTGCACAGGTTCTCGGTACGTATACACGTAGAGCCGGTGATTGTCGGGGATGTCTTTAATGGCTCTGCCAGTAAACAAAGATATCAAGAAGGTCTGTTGTTTTCCCCCCTCCTACTTTACGGAAAAAAAGAAGAAGAAGCGCCCCTAAACAATAGGTATATTTATGCTCTGCTCGTCAATGAAAGCTTTCGATAATGAGCAGCGCCGGCTATGGCAGTGGGCGAGGGAAGGGTACCCCCTCATTTTCGCAGTGCCCATCGAAAAACAAACAAACGCGAGGAGAAACAAAAGGTCGAGGGATGAAACGCAGAGCCATTAATTTTTATTCAACCTCCATTATCATTTGCCGAGAGCGAATCGATCCGAAGGGAGCTGCATCCATCGGAGAGGACGAGATCGCTGCTGGTATGTGTGTGTTTTTGCCAACAGCGGCGAACGAGCGAGACGAAGGAGGAAGAAAAAAAAGGGCACGAGCAAAGGTGGTGAAAGAAAAAAAAAAAAAGAGGCAAAGGGAGGAGGTAAAAGCAATAGAGTAGGAAAAGGCGGCAAGAAAGCAGTTAAGCAAGAGAGAGGGAGCCGAGGAGCTCTGGGATGAAAAGCCTCGGGCGCCGAGGTGGAAAATGATAAGGCTCCGTGAAAACAACGGGCTACGGCTGATGAAGTCGATGCCGTGGCGACTTTTCTCTCCTGTATACGTACTGCTCTCGCCTTCCCATCCTATACGTACACACGCCCAGCCCCAAGGTAGATTGTTAATTGATACGGCGCCCAGTGGAGAAAGACGCAAGCTCGAGGTGTGTTTGTGCTTCGAGCTGTATTTTTTTTCTTCTTTTTTTCTTTTTTTTTTTTTTGTTTACGCCCAAGGGATAAAACCTGCTAATGAAATCGAATAGTTTGCGACGGAGTTACTCCTCGAGGCTCGGCGCTTGGTGTATAAATATATACGAGTTACGCAACGCGCCGAGATTAAACGTCGCGAGTTTATTGAAGGTATATATATATATTGGCACGTCGAGTCTCGTTTGAGATGAATCAACAACATTTATTACTTGTACTAGCAAAAAAAACCATAGTTATTTTCAATTTCATTTGGATGAAAAAAAAAAAGGTACGTTATAGACAAATACCTCCCCCTCAAGAGGGCTGTAGAAATAAATACACACGGTTACCCAGAGCACGAGGCTAAAAGGCCCCCCCTAACGAAATGAAAAAACTTAATAAGAGCGAGAGTCGTCGAAGGTTCCCCGCGCGTATAAAGATCTCGAGCAATTAAGCCCGCGCAACGGCGACGTAAATATACAAGGGACGGCTTAGCGAGACTCTTCTCTTCCTATATATATACATACATAGCTGTATGGCGGTGGTGGTTGCTGAAAGCCGTGTTTTTCAAGGCTTGATTTACACCCTTAATTACGCGTAATTGTGACAAACCGGGGGTGGCCTTTTTTCCTACCCCCCCCCCTCTGCTCCTACCACCGCACATCGTATGGGCAAGCAGGCGGGCAATCGACAGCGTTTTACTGCGTGGATTTCCCCCCTTAGCCTCCCCCTGAAACTCTCGACTCTTCCCAAATGGTATATATATATAGTTTGTGTGTAATGTATGCTCGTACAGTGGGTGTACCAACATGCAAATAGAAGCGAAATAAAAGGGAAGCAAAGTACTTTCGATCCGTGGAAACAAGAAGAGATGCGATCGGCGTATTTCAACGAGAGCACGTATACCCATCGTCTTTGGGCTCGGGGGGGAGAACGCTCGAGCGCATCGCGAACTGCTTTGCCAAAGATTGAGAGGGGGGTGTATTGTAAGGCACGCGCGCAGAAACAATGTGCTGGTGGAAAACGGAGAAGCGAAAGTAGCCCCCCACCGGCAATCTTATCTGAGAGCTGCTGTTGGGGGTACATTACGACGGTCTGGCGAACCGCAGCAGCGTCCGAGTTCCCTTCCCTGCCTGACTCCGAAGTTTGCGGCGAGTGCCTTTGCCCCGTGCGTCGTCTCTCGAGTCGGTGCACCTACTTTTGCGCTCTCGATCTCGTCGCCCGATTTGCTTTCCGTCATATACCACGGAGAAACCGGAAACTGTACCGTATTATATATAGGGAGGACTTTTCTTACCCTTTATCGATCGTTGCTCCACGTGTACGTTTCACCAAAGCTCCGTTCCAACGGCCGAGTTTGTTACATTTTTTTTTTTTTTTTTTCGTTATCGGGGATTATGTCAATCGGGACGTGTTTGTCCGAAAACACCGCGCGTCATCCAATTAAAATCCTCCTTGGCTTGAAATCAACGCAAAGCCCCTTGTACCTACATGTATATATATACGCGCTACGTTTCCCAGGAAAACGTGGAAGCTCTCGTCCCGGACCACTCGGCGAGCGCTTACTTTTCGACGGATGCAAATAGACACAGTGCGAGAGAGAGAGGGGCAACATCCTCCGAAAAGACGATATATATATATATGTATATCCCCCGGCAGTCTGGAGCTTTCAATGGCTCTTCCCTCTTGTTCTTGCAAATCACCCCCCGTCATTTTCATCCCAAAGCTCTCCCCCTCGCCTCGCTAATGAATACGCGAGCTTTTCCTACGAATCAAGAGGTGTTTTGCTCTCTTTCGCATGTACGCCTGTATATTTTTGTATTCGAAGGGTTGGGTGCATAATGACGATAAATCGTCAAATCAATCGATGGTTGAGTATATATATTCATTATTTATTTTATATTGCGAGAGAGGACTGAAAAAAAAAAAAAAAAAAAAAAAAAAGAAAGCCCAATGTGGGGTGGGTGTTCAATGGTTGATGATCATCATCCCTCGTCACATAATGGTAATAATGTCAGTGAAATTTGTTGCAGACCATCGGAACTCGGTGCCACCTCGGTTCAACGAGCGCGTGATGCCCGCCCCGGTGAAGACGGGCGAGACGATAGTCCTGTCGTGCATCTCGCAGGGCGTGCCACCCCCTACGTACCTCTGGTTTCGCGAATCCGTCTCCGCGGGCCCGGAGATGGTGACGAGCTCAGAGCGGGTGCACGCCCGCGCGGGTGTCCTCGTCGTACAACAGGCGAGGCTCGAGGACGCCGGGCGCTACGTGTGCCACGCCAACAACACCGCCGGCTCCGAGAGGGTCGAGCTCGAGGTCGCCATCATCAACAGCCTCTCGATACGCCTCACCCCCCCACAGGTGAGTCACTCCCCTGTGTATTATTGTATAATGTATACGTCCCTCGAGATTTCTTCTCCCTCTCCTGCGAGTAAACGGTGAATATAACCACGACTGCCGTGCCAGGACGAGAAAAAAAAAAAAAAAAAACCCCGACTCTTTATCTCTCTACCCCCCCGGCTGCCGTGCGACGCTGTTTATCATTACTGCGATAAAAGCCGTCGGCGTCATTACGATGCATTCGCGCGTCAATTGCAACCGCAGCCCCTTTTCTCTCTCTCTCATCCGTGGTATAAATACAGGCAAGACTTGCTTTGGTAATAAGTGCGAGAGCGCGACTGAAAACAAGTTCTTGGCCAAAGCTTCGGGTGTATTTTAACGAAGTGTATTTGCGCATCGGTTTCGTTGGACCAGTATGGATAACCGGTTACGCGTTATCTCGCGGAATAAACGACGACGGTGTACGGAGAGCCCTGCAACCGCACCCCCTTTCGTTCAATCGGTAAAGGGCGAAGGGGTCAAGAAGGGCGGGTGTACATGTATATACATTGTATACGTGTCGCGCCGCAGGTAATAGAAAACAAAATAGCCGCACAATCGCACAACCATTAGAGAGCGAGGAGGGGCCGGGGGGAGGGAGCTTTACGATCAGGGGATGATTGCATCGGGACCGCGGGAGCCGGAAATGAGAGGTGGGGCCGGGAATTGATCGGATTCCAGTTACATCGAAGTTGACGCCGGTATATATGTGTATACAGATACATCGAACTGCTCCGGGTCGAGCTTGAATATACATGCAGATGTACATCGGAGTATAGGTATATATAAAGGGCCAAAGGGCTCGGACCGTCGCCCACCCCAATCAGCATGATGTGGTCTCTGCTGCAGCAAACCTCGATACCCATTATAGGGGTATACGCGTGTGTGTGGGGGTGTGTGTGAGTGTACCTACTTCTCTTTACATAGACAGTATATAGATATGGGTACTCGGGTATATCTGCCAGTGTACCCCATATATATTTGTACAGGTGTATGCATAATGGTGCACTCGTAACTCGCAAGAGTCGTTGATGTAGCCACTCTCGGCACACGCTTGTACACATAAACTACACACTGGAGAAAGGTAGTACGTATAGGTATATGCATCGCGTTGGAGTCCGAATTTGATTTCTGGCTGTGGGGATCAAAGCTCCACGTCCCTACATATATATATACACGTGCAAAAACGCGCGTCAGCGGTGGGGTGGAGGAGTTGTCCGTTCGTCTCGCTCTCGGGCTTGATCGATGATGGCTGGTGCTCTCTCTCTCTGTCCCATCTATACCTATACCTCTATATATATACAAACGGCGTATACTGGGCCACGATGTGTGTATGCACCAGGATGCTTCAAAGCCATTATTGAAATTCCAGCGGCGCTGCTTCCGCGTCCGTGCCTCGGACTATGTCTGCAGTACCCACCGCCATTCCCGTCACTTCCGCCGTGTACCCCTATATACACACCCCTACGTGTATACCATACCTGTATGTGTGTGTGTACATAATATATACGCGTGCGTGTGCTCCAGATACGCGGCTGGATATGCTTCTCATGAAGAGACAATGAAATGAGCGATGAGCTGGCGTAATGCAAACTTAACGGTTATCCAGGTGATTTTCGGCGGTTTCTCTTCATACGTATCCGTAGCAGCTGCACTTTGCCGAGCTGGCCTTTAAAAACTTTCCTCGCCGTCGTCGGTAACCCATCCGTGCGGTAAAGGATGAATGGTAGTTTGTTGGTTCAATCAAGGTTGCACAGAGAGAAAGAGAGAAAAATGGAGAACTTCCGTAACCATGACTATTGAACAAAACGCGCGAGTGACTGATTGTGGGTCGCAGTGTTGCTGATTAGACCATATACGCAAGGGGTGCTGATTGTTGGTGAGATTTACTTTGACCCGGTATATTATATCCCGTTTAGGGAGAAAAAAAAAAAAAAAGCTGTATTCCAATGTCGATGACAAATATATGGGAAGGGCGAGGGTCATTTATTTTGGGGACAAAAACTAAACGGCTCCGAGACAAACGGGTGAAATTAATCATGATTTCGCGCCCCCACCCTCCCCGAGACCCAAGGCAAACGTAATCACGCAAATGAATGCAAATGTCTGGAGTGCGCGTCGCCTACGGCTGTCTCGCACTCGCTCCGTGTACGCCGTTAACAAATATACATTTAGATTTTACCATCGAAACCCTCCGCCACGCGACTCTCTTTCATCAACGCGAGTTTGCTCGTTAAACGTTTGCGTGTCTAGTCTCTCCCCCATTGGGATTTTCTCGTTGAGCATAATATATGTACATGTGTGTATGTGATATACGCAGGTGACGATAGATCTGGGCAAGGACGCCGAGTTCACGTGTTCGGTCGAGGGCCAGCCGATGCCGACGATATCCTGGGCGAAGGACGCGCTGCCGATAAGGGAAGGTACCTCGGGAAGGACGAAAATCACGGGTACCACTCTGCACATATCCTCGATTACGCGGGACGACAAGGGGATGTACCAGTGCTTCGCCAAAAACGACTACGAGATGGTCCAAGCCACGGCCGAGCTGAGACTTGGAGGTTTGCCATTATTATCTTTTTCTGCTTGTCTTGCTGATACTTTTTCTTCATTTCTCCTCTCAATTTAGCCATGAAAATTACTCTCGATAAGTAAACGTGTATACATTACCCAATTTGATTGATATTTCTTTGCGTTGATACACACACGAATGAAATATATATATGTACAAATCAATTCCGATGCGGTTGTTATTCGTACGCTCGATCTATCATCTGTAAAGAGATTCGTATGTTTGCTATATACCTCGGTATTATTATTATTTCCGAAAGCTTGACTCTAGAAACGTGATTTATCAATTGTTATTGACAATGACGTTTCCCCTTATCAAAGTTCCGTGAAATATCATATCACGCGTATGTTTGGAGCGAGTACCGCGTAGATATACTAATAATATTGTGTGTAACTTTCAATAATAGTACTCGAATCAATTATCGGTTGCTATGACTTGTATCAACCTACCGCGGAGGGACCCGAACCGAAGTAAACAAAAGTACGAAAATCCCACCGAGGAGTCGAGGCCCTCACGGTCGGGCGCAAAAGAGCGACGCAAAGCCCATTCGTTATAGAAACGGTGAGGCAACATGGCACGGTGCCGTCATTCAATTTTTTTTCAACCCCCTGCACGATTTGGACACGCGCGTGGAGAGGGAAGGTGATTGATTCGCAAACGCATCGGGGAAATGACGTTTCGACGCGTGGATCAGCGCGACCGCCCGTTGTATTAATTTCGCGGCGCACTAGAGAAAACGGCACCCAACCCATAACTGGCTACTCTCACTATGGCGAGGGCACACGCAGAGTTCATAGCTCCCCCGTAGATGCGCACAACCGATTACGGGACGCAATTACGTAATAATCTCGTTGGCCCAACCGCACTACCCTCTCGGTTCTAATATTAGCCAGGACACACGTGTACGCGTGCATACACAACGTTGCATCTAATTTTCATACATTTGATCATACTTACACGCGAAGTATTATCGAATTTGGCGCGTGTTAATAACATCCGGTTCGTCGGAAAAGTTTGCTCTCGCGCTTCAGACCTTCATTTTCATGATAGAGTCGGGTGGCAGGGAAAATGGCCCCCCGCGCACGCGCTCTCCTCTTCCTCGGTTGAGTCAAAATTTGCATACTCGTAACGTGCTTAAGCTGCTTAAGGCAACCCATTTCGGAAAACAAGTGGCGTCGATGGATGACGATCGAAAGGGAAGGGAATCGAACATCCCTTAAAAATTACTAGACAAAGTGCATTTTCCCCTGGCGCCGTCCAATCAACCCTTAATATCCAATAACCCCCCTCGCGCACCTCACCGCGTGGGCATTTGTCACGCATCCGTTGGGTGAAGAAAATTCAAGTGCTCGCATAGTCGGTGGCACGGATGGATAAATAAATATGAACGCGGGCGCCAGGTGTCACCGGTATACAGCCCCCGTTTGTATAAATCACGGGTCATGGACAATAAACACGGCGCGATCGGAAAATAAAGTAAGCGGGGTACCATTGCCCCGAGCTGTAATGATAGCCGGGGAGAGCAGCCGGCGCTCGCGTTATAATTTATATCGACAGGCGATAATGGCAGGCGTTTAGAGGGCTCGGGCGTGGCTCGGGAGGGGTGGGTCGCCTGCTGGCCTGATTTACGCCAAAGGCAAACTTGCCGCTGCGGTTTATCCTCGGCCGTATAATTTGGGGTTAATTCACTATACATGTATGGGCTCCGTTGGGGAGGGCGTCAAACCGCAGATCGATTGTTCCCGCGCCTCCTCCTGTCCGTTCTCCGCTTGGGGGGAGGGATATGCAGGTCTTGTCATGCAAATTTTGCGTGATACGCAAATGCATGCGATCGTGCACCCCCCCCCCCGCGTCTGCTCGCGCTTGCATAATATCGGCAGCTGCGCTGTTGCCCACTGTTCGGCTCTTGGTATGCAGCACGCGTTTGCACGAGCACTGGAGAGAGAATTTTGCCCCGATGTACCTGTATGTCCGTAGTTTTGGGGATGCGTTGAAATGGAAAAGTCAGCGGTTGGGTGATGGGAACCACCAAGATGTGAAAAGTAACGAGCGATGAGTTTTTTTTTTTTTTTCATCAGCAACAACGGTACAGCGTGAAAAATATATCTATGACATGTATAAAATATTATGATGTTGTGTATGTACGTGAGTACAAGTAGCAAAATATGCATGTCGAGTTAACGAGCAAGTTGTGTTGTCATTCATGCAGATGCGGCGCCCCAACTAGTTTACAAGTTCATCGAGCAGACCATACAGCCGGGACCGTCGGTGTCCCTCAAGTGCATCGCAACGGGTAATCCGACGCCCCACTTCACCTGGACCCTCGACGGTTTCCCTCTACCGCAGAACGACAGGTGAATTCCATCCCCTCCCTCCACCCCTAGTGTATATATACATGTTTACTTCCAGCGATGGCAGTAGAATAATCGTATATTTGTGTACCCTCGGTGCGCGCGGCTTTTTTCGACCTTTCCTTTTTTCCCCTCCCCCACCTCGCTCCGGTACTTTGAACAAAAAATTAAACGCTCGGCAGCCTTTGTGCCCATGTGCATTTTTTCCCCTGTTTCTCGTTTTAATGCAATCTTTTTCCTTTTTTTTTTTTTTTTTTTTTTCATTCCCTTTGTCCTCATGTCCCAAACGATGGCGGAGATGATGACGTTTCCCTTGCATTGTTCCCCCGGTCTGGTGGTTATGGCAAAATTGTCCTTTACATCGCTGGAAATTAATAAATATGTATATTTATACTCCTCGCGACTTCATCTCTTGGCAACGTTTACCAAGAGGAAGAGAGACGAAGGGAAAGAAAAATAATAATAATAATAATAATAATAATAATAATAATAATAATAATTTGGCCCACCAGGTTCATGATAGGTCAGTACGTGACGGTGCACGGGGACGTGATATCCCACGTGAACATAAGCGCGGTGAGGGTCGAGGACGGCGGTGAGTACAGGTGCTCGGCAGTCAACCGAGTCGCCAAGGCGAGCCACGGCGCGAGGCTCAACATCTACGGGCCGCCGCACGTCAGGCCGATGGGCAACTACGCGGCCGTGGCGGGCGAAACCACCGTCATAAAGTGCCCCGTGGCCGGTTTTCCCATATCTACCATCACTTGGGAGAAGGGTGAGTAGTAGTACAGGTCCGCGTCAGGTCGGACGCCCTTTGCAAATCATAAATACTTCGTTTTACCTACGACAGTCGGGGCAATTCGTGCGAGATCCGCGAAAAGGATTAACTTTTCTCGAGGGCGACGTTTCCCGTGAAAAATAGATGACAATGCCGGTCCGTCGATCGACGCGAAAGCAACAGCGCACGGTGCAGTGTATAAGTTTACGGCCGGACGCTAATACACGGCCCCTTCTCGAAGTAGCACATATACGGTGGTACTAGACGTACGCGGGCAAAAAGTACAAGCTCTCTCCACTCGAACTTTCCGAGGGGGAGCCTTCCAAGCGCTTTACGATGTTGGACTCTGTAAAAAAAAAAAGGAGGGGTGGGTAGCGAAACAAGGGACGCGGGAAGAAAAACGATAGTCCGAGGCAAAGTTTCGGAAAAGTATTCCGAAAGCTCGGAAGTACCTATATTGTGTATAGAAGAGGCGGAGTAATCAAATAACCCGAGGGTGGCCGACCTTTTGCCCCGACAGATGGCCAAGTTTTGCCGACGAGCCGAAGACAGGAGGTCTCGACGAACGGCACCCTCACCCTGCACCGGGTCGACAGCAACACCGACCGGGGCGCCTACACCTGCACCGCCCGCAACCAACAGGACAGGTTCGACTCGCAGACCGTGCACATCGAAGTCAAAGGTATATTTTAGTTGAATCTTTTTTTTTTTTTTTTTCATTCCTTATGTATATAATATGCCGGAAAAATTGGAGGGCAAAAAAAAGGTCACCCCTCCCTGGCCAGATCTCGAATTGAAGAGGGTCAGGGAGGGGGTTATCGCTGCGGTGAAACTTTGCCGAGCGAGAGAAAAGTTTGGGCGCAAAGTTGTTTCTTGCAGCTGCTTCAACAGGTCGTCGTCTCGAGAGGGGCAGCAGTCGTCGGTTGGCAGATCTTTAATAATGTTTTCTCGAATTTATCGGTCCATACAAATGGACCGCAGTGGTTTTGACGCAGGTACGGTCGGTCTGACCAAACGCTGATGTTTGCCGATGAAGGTTGAACGGATCGAGCGTACGACGATGACGTGAGTTGATGTAAATTTTGCAGTGCCCCCGCGAATCGATGCGTTTAGCTTCCCCGAGAACATCCAGGCGGGTGCCCGGGTCCACGTGACCTGCGCCGTGAGCGAGGGCGACCCACCGGTGCGCATAGTCTGGCTGAAGGACGGCCAGCCCCTGAGCCACTACGGCCGCGAGCTCGACGTTACGACCAGCCAGATCGGCGAGTTCGATCTCGCCCTGAGGATAACGAGCGCCTCACCCGCCCACAACGGGAACTACACTTGCCTCGCGAGCAACGACGCGGCCAAGGCCTCACACACCGCCAAGCTGCTCGTTCACGGTACACAACGACTACCTAGGCGAGATGGCGCGCTGTGACACTCTCTTTGTTTCGACATTTTCTTTTGCCCTCCCCCCCCCCCCGTCACCCTCTCGATCTGATGGGTTTTAACTCGTACTCGCGTGTTTTTCGTTTGTCGCGGCCAACGCACCGGTGTATAACTTTTGTTCGCGCTTGCGTGTCGAAAAAAAAAAAAAAAAAAAATGTAGCTGTAAACAAAGCCATCGAAGTACCCTTTCGATGCGTACGTATATATTTCATTCCGTCGGGTGCGAGCGCCGCCTCGGTTAACAAACTTGTTGTTCAAGTGCACGGCGACAAATCGCGTGGACTTTCGTTGTAACCATCAGTCGTTATTTACGACTGTGCGAGTACTCCGGGGGTATTAAAAAGTAGGACAGCCGTGCGTTGAAAGCAGGGGCTGAAAAAATGGGAGGGTGGTGAAAAGCAACCGAGCCTCGGCTAGCGACGAAAAAAAAATCAAAAAAACATTGTTTAAAGGCGCTGCTGTTTTTCGCCCAGCCCATACAGCTTCCTTTTCTCGGCGTATTTTTTGTCAGTTTTTTTTTTTTGTTGTTTTTTTTTTTTGACTCTGTTTTATACCAAACAACGTGGGGCCAAAAGTCCGCAGACAACAACACGCAACTGTTGCCGAGTCGTTTTTTTTTGAATTATTACTTCTAGCCTCGATGCTCCCTCGGGGGGGCTCCCGACCAATCAACACCACCTTCTTTTGTTTCTTTCATTATCTCTACGGTACTCTTTATACGGGGCTCTTTCTTGACACACCGGAGGGTTGAAGGGGCTGGTAGTATAGTATCCTGGGGCACAGGGGCCTTGACACTGCGATGTGCAACACAATGTATACCTACCTTTACATTTACTCTGTTCTTCTATCTGTACGTGTATTGTAGGTACGAAAAATGTTTTCTTCCACAACCCTATGCAGGAAACAATACCTCCACCGTGGGACCAATGGGCTCACTCACGTACACCCGTGACACTGGTACACCACAACAGCAACAACAACAGCCAATATAATATACTCAATACAATAAGTAACAACAAGTAATATTCAATCATATGATATCATTTCTCGTGTACGCAGCAAAAAGTGCTCGACCCTACAGATACGTGCTTTTGGAGATCTCGTTAAAAAATCGTCACTGCGAAACTTTCCGCTGCGTACACGAGCACTCGACAAACCTCTCGTCCAGAGTACTGTATCGTTACGCGATTCGCAGCAAAGAGCCCGTGATACTCTACCAACAGGAGCAGAGGGAACAATGGATCCAGAGCAACAACCATTATGAAAAAAAAAAAAAAAAAAAAAAAAAAAAACCTCGCTGATTTCTACCTGAGAAAATCTTTCCGTATCCTTTATCCAAAACTCACGAAACACAATAAAAAAAAAAAAAAAAAAAAAAAAACGAGGAGCAAATCTCGTTCTTTCGCAACACCTCATTCGTACCTTCTCGTTCTGCTTTCATTCGCCACCACCACCTCCACCTTGGTCGCCGTGGCAGTTCCGCCCCAGATAGCGCCGTTTAGCTTTAACAAGGACCTGTCGGAGGGCGTGCGCGCCCAAGTGACCTGCGTCATCGAGAAAGGCGACGCGCCCTTCGTCATCACCTGGTCCAAGGACGCCGAGGGCATACCGAGCGCCGCGAGCCCCAATTCCCACACCTCCTTGTCCTCGACCTACAGCCGCAATAGATACGGGTCCCAGCAGCAGCAGCAAAATCTAGCCGGGCTACGGGTAACCAGCATCGACGCCCACTCGAGCACTATTGTCATTGAGCGCGTGGCCGCCAATCACACCGGCAACTACACCTGCCACGCGCGCAACTCCATCGCCGAGGTCTCCCACACTGCCGAACTCGTTGTCCGCGGTAATCACGAGCTCCTCTCTACCTCTCTATCCTATCTATATCTTACCTCGTTTTCGTTTGCTCTCGATCTCGTTTGTTACTATCATTACACCGATGATGATGATGATGATGATGATGACGAGGCTCTGCTGCACATCTGTTTTTTTTGTTGTTTTTTTTTGTTTTTCCTGCTGTTGATGTTGTCTTTGTTTATTTATTTATTTTTTTTTTTTTATTATTACTTTGCTCACTATAATAATAATGATAAATCACTTGTTTTGTCGTCTCTCACAAAAGTGTTTGCATATTGAAGAGCAGAGCGCACCGATTGCACTGTATACTCACCTTGTGTGGCAACCGAGCACCGCAGCACCTGTCTTATTGATTCTCTTTATACTCTCTTTCATTCACCACTTTCGAAGGGTATACATGCGAGAGGTGTGGTGTGCGTGTATGGGTATCGGTAGAAACTATTTAATAAGCGCCTCAACGCTTGTGTATTTTGTGTAGAGACCTTTGCCTGACTGAACGTTGATTTGAACTACTTGTCGACGCCTCCGTACTGGATTAAAAGGCTGAGGATTGCGGAGCTACAGGAAAAAAAAAAAAAAAANTCGTTAAACTCGGAGAGAAAAATAAAATAAAATACAAGAGAGAAGAGCTATATACGTATGGATCTGGATGTATGTGTAATAAGTTGGCGTTGGTTGCAATATATATATAGTTATTTTCCCCGTGTGTTAAGCATAGCTCGCGAGTTTTGCTGGGAGTTTTCGAGTGTGGATGGCTACTTCAGCATCGGATCCTTGCAACTCCCACCAGCAGCGGCAGGTCCGCTCGCGCATTGTAATGACCGAAACAAAGCGTCGCGTTGTGGAATCTTTCTCAGCCCGCCCGTGGTATATTCGACCGCCGTGCCACTTTTGGTATTCGCAATGGGTGTGTGAGTGGGTGTGTGTGTGTGTGTACCTACGCGCGAGGTACACAATGGGCATGAGCGAGGACTTTGGCTCTTTGTTCCCTTTTCCGCTGATCGAAGTATATTGCGTATACATGCACCGTGGATTGGTGGACCAGTCAACAGCAGCATCCAGCAGCCTCGCATGATTCGTTATATCCGATGGTCCACGGAGCAGCTAATCTGGAGCGCGCCTCACCTGCCAGCACATCAAATTTATAGCTCTCTTTCTCTTTCTCTCTTTCCTGTCTTCATCACCGCTCTCTCACTCTGCATTTAAATACACACATGTTATATGCAACAACGCACCGTATATATTCACCTCACTCTGTCCTCCCTATTTGCACCACGCACAATATATACGCACCGACTCTTCACCAGCATTACCGGCAAAATACCGATTTTCGAGAAAAGTTGGGGCACTCACGAAAAAAAAAAAGCTTCGATCGTTATATTTGTAGTCAATCTTTGGCGCGGCTCAGCGTTGATAAACAATTGCTCGTAGCTGCTTCTTTGGCTTATCGCTTCGAAATGCTTTTTACATTCTCGTTGTGGAGGATTTTTTTCATTTCAAAACAAATGTGCGAGCAATTTTTTTTCTTCTTTTTACTTGAAATGCCGGTAATAGTTGGGTAAGAGAGCGCACAATATTAATATTATTATATGAACGATGCACAAAACACGACAATCACTGGCACATATACCGGATCGACACCTTCGTGTGTTATTATTAACTTCACTGATTCACTGCTATTTATATATAAAAAAAACACGCACACGTCTGTTTTGAAAAAGAAAATCGCACAATATAATCACTGGGTGACAGAAAAAAAAAAAAAAAAAGAAAAAATGTCTGCACAGCACCGATTTTATTTCCTTATTCATGTCACACGCAAAGTCTTTCGAGTAGTAAATTATTTACGTTTTGCAAGCGCGTGGTGGAAACGAGACTGAATCTGCATTGAATGATAATAATCGTGCATTAAACGACGAAAATGGAAATGGGCACTTTTGGCAAATTGAACGTAGTTTTCAATGATTACGTTCAAATTTGCTGAGCGCGCGTGGCTACAGAACTAATTTGCTCAACTTACGACGGAAAGCCCATAATATGTTTCTCAATCGTTTCCACAACGCACTACTTAAAATTAAAAAAATAAAAAGAAAGGAACCACAACCCAAACTAATTGTATGCTTTTTTTGGGGTGGGTATTGGAAAAAAACACCAATAAACAAGAAATCGAAAAACAGTTCGACAATATGGTCATCTTCGCGGAAATGGAACTCNATATATGCTGGTCCCGAGGCTCTTGAGCAGACTCGTTCGTTTTTTTAATTTTGAGGGCTTCCTGAATTTTTTTGAACCATCTACTTAACTCGTGTATGAAATGAAAAAAAAAAAAAAAAAAAACAGTACCGCCCCGTTGGCTACGCGAGCCCCAGGACGTTCATGCGCCAGAGGGTATGTCGCGGCTGATGTTGCACTGCCACGCGGATGGTTTCCCACCCCCGAGCGTGACTTGGCGCAAAGCGAGCGGCAACAAGCCCGGCGACTACAAGGACATTGCCGGTCACGAGCACACCCACGACCCCAAAATCCACTCGAACGGCTCGCTCGTGTTCGCCCGCGTCCAGGAGGACCACGAGGGCTTCTACCTCTGCGAGGCGGTCAACGGCATCGGCGCCGGCCTCAGCAAGGTCGTCTACCTCACCGTCAACGGTACCTCTCGACATCTCTATATATACATTTTTTTTCATCATCACCACCACCCTCTCTCTCTCTCTCTCTCGTTCGAAAATACACGCCATCACGATTCGACACAGCCCCGGCCCACTTTGCGATAAAACACGAGAACCGCACGGCCAAGCTGGGCACGAACGCGCAGCTGCGTTGCGAGGCGAAGGGCGACTACCCGTTGAAAATAGTGTGGCGCAAGGCCGGCTCGCAACTGGAGCCCGCGGTCTCGGACTACCGATACATCGTCAAGGAGCAAAACACGACCGAGGGCGTGGCCAGTATACTCGGGCTCGTCGGTACGACCCGCGACGACAGCGGCAGGTACTTTTGCAGCGCAAGCAACGCCTACGGCCACGACGAGATGACAATACACCTGTACATCCAAGGTGGGCCCCGGATCAGTAGAAACGCTCGGTGATTGGTCGGGCGTTCAATGATTTTTCTTACATGTCGCAGAGCCTCCGGACTTCCCGAGGAACTTGCGGGTGATGGAGAAGGGCAGCCGGTTCATCAAGCTCGGCTGGACACTGAGCCAGGACGGCAACAGCCCCATCACCCAGTACATCGTCGAGTACAAATCGGAATCTGGTAAGTCTTTTGCGATGAAAAAAAAAAAAAAAAAAAAAAAGTTTGGGGTGGTAAACGAGAGCCGATAAATCGATACTCCCCCGGGGGGGTCTCGAAAACGTTGGAAACTCGTCAGCCAGGGCTCGTTCTTCCAACTCTCTTGACTTTCATTTCAATGTTATTTTCCCTAGCGCGTACCTCGCGAGAGTATTCGATCAACCACCTCTGAGTATACGTAATAGTCGATAACGCCAGACGCAACAGAGAGACACCGGCGTGAATAACATTGGCACGGGATCGCGGCAGTTGCAGAGATCGTTAAACTCGGAGAGAAAAATAAAATAAAATACAAGAGAGAAGAGCTATATACGTATGGATCTGGATGTATGTGTAATAAGTTGGCGTTGGTTGCAGAAGTTTGGCACGACCATACGTTTCACACGACGGTGCCGGGGAGCCAGGCCCACGCCCACATAAGCGGCCTCCGACCGGCGGTCACATATCAATTCCGCATCTTCGCCGAGAACGAACTTGGCAGGAGCCAACCCAGCGACGTTAGTATATACACACACACACACACGCCGCACATCTCATAACTCACCCCACGCGCCCACACACAGACGGTGCCGTACAGCTGCACCCGTGTATGCCATCACGTTGATTAATATTCAGGACCCACCGCTGCTGGTGTATATATATATACACTGCTCGGCTCTTGATAATTTTCCACACACGTGTCTTTTACGTACTGCCTCGTAGCCTTATTCTCGTCGTCGTCGGCAGCTCTTCTCCCCGAAGCTGTGATTGCTTTGTACAGGGTTTTTTTTTTTTCTTCTTCTTTTTTTATTGAATACAATTTGACTTTTATGCGCGTAACACCCTTTTTCTTCCCCCTTTCCCCTTTAGCGATGTACAATGGGCCACGGACAAAATAACCCCCGTAGTTTGAAAAAGTGTGTGACGCGTGTGTGTTGGTGCCGCAGATTCTGGACGCGATGACGGAAGGCGAGACGCCGGGCGGGCCGCCGAAAAATCTTAAAGTCGAGGCAGCCAGCTCGACGGAGCTGAAGGTGACGTGGGACCCCCCGGACGACGATCTGTGGAACGGCGAGATCCTCGGCTACCACGTCGGTTACAAGGAGCAAAGGTACCTTCCTTGCTACAACGCATTGTAATTCAAATCATCGCCATTTATTTTTCCCTTCGATACATCCCCGAGTCTGCCATTCGAAGGCAAACGAATGTCTCGCCCGTATATAGTCCATAGGATTATTATTATGTATGCCCGCACAAATTATGTCGCGTTGAAATGAAAACAGACACGGAGCGGAGTACGTGTACCGCACGGTCGAGGGCAGCATCTCGACGGCCAGCATAGCCCTGGGCCTCGCGAGGACGGCCATACCCGGGCGCCAGTGCCAGCTGACGAACCTAAAAAAGTACGCTCGCTACAGCATCGTCGTCCAGGCTTACAATTCCCTGGGCGCCGGACCCATGACCCCCGAAGTCGTAGCCACGACCCTCGAGGACGGTAACTTGCTATTGTCTTTGATCCAATACTGTGTGCGTGGTATGTGTATGCATGTAAAATTAACAACACGCAATGGGCCCCGGGGCAAACTAGTGCCGTCGAGTCCGCCGCAGGACGTGCGGTGCACGGCCCTGTCCTCGCAGTCGCTCCAGGTATCCTGGGACCCGCCGCCCAACTCGAGCCTCAACGGCGTCCTCAAGGGCTACAAGGTCACCTACGAGAACATGGACGCGCTGGCCGACGCGACCAAAATCGAGAACAAGAGCACCAGCCCCCTCGTGCTGACTGTCGTCCTGACCAACCTCGAAAAGTTCACCAACTACTCGGTCCAGGTCAGTGTCATGTATACTCCCACCCACGTGTCGACGAAGCAAACGTCCAATTAAAAACCACACCCCGTGTACCCACCAGGTGTCGGCGTCGACCAAAGCGGGGGACGGTGCGGTGTCGGCCCCGCTGTACTGCGTCACCGAGGAGGACAAGCCGGAGATGCCCGCGGGTATAAAAGCGGTGGCGAGCTCGGCCACGTCGGTGATTGTGTCGTGGCAGCCCCCCCTGCGCAGCAACGGCATCCTCACCTCGTACAGCGTGCACGTGCGCTCCGTCGGCCCGGACGGCAAGTGGTACAGGCGCGCCCTGCCGCCCCACGAGACGTCCTACCTCGCCGAGAACCTACACAAGAAGAACCAGTACGAGTTCAATATAGCGGCTGTGACGTCGTCGGGCGATGGGCCTCGCACTCCCTCGATCGTTGTCTCGCCGTCCAGCGAAGGTATAGGCTACACACCCCTCGTGTTGCGAGGATCGATGCGTTACCGGTAATCGTCCCTTGTTCGCAGTGCGAGCGGCGGTTTACTCGTTCGGCTCGACGCTGGTGGTGCCGTGGAAGCAGGACGTCCTGCTGCCGTGCAAGTGGGTCGGCAAACCCGAGCCGACGGTCACGTGGAAGCAGTGGGGCCAGGTATTGAGGTTCGGCGGCTCGTCGAGGGTAACCCTCGAGAACGACGGCTCGCTGCAGATACGGGAACTCCACAGGGAGGACAGCGGCAATTACACCTGCCAGGTGGAAAATCGCTACGGCAGCGATCAGATCACCCATCGTTTGACCGTCCAGGGTGGGTTTTTATACATATATATACATACATGTATATTTTGGCTGCTTCACTTAATCAAAAACAGTTAAATCACTCTTTGGGTGTACAATCGTTTATTATTATTTTTCAACAAATACTTACAACGTTACATTGTCAAGGATTTTCATGTGCCAACATTTACATTTACATGTATTTATTTGAACTGACTTTTTTCGTAATATAATAAGGAATAAGTAATTGTTATGATTATTTTTTGTTTTAAATGGGCAACAGTGCCACCAGCGGCGCCGCTGTTGCACGCGACGAGCGCGACGAGCAACTCGATAAAGGTGCAGTGGAAAAACGGGGACGACGGCGGGGCGCCGATCCGAGGCTACATCCTCCACTTTAAGCGCGAGCTCGGCGAGTGGGAGGAGATAAAGCTGTCGCACAAGAGCAACAGTTACCAATTGACGCAGTTGTGGTGCGGTACCGATTACCAGGTTTACCTGACCGCGTACAACAGAATCGGCATGGGCTCGCCGAGCGAGATCGTCCGCGCCACGACCGAGGGCTCAAAGCCCCACGACTCGCCGACCAGCCTCGACAAGTTCGTCACGGTCAACGTATCCTGGATAACCTTGCACCTGCTCGCTTGGAACGACGGTGGCTGCCCCATCACCTACTTCGAGCTCGAGTACAAGCGCGCCGGCGAGGAACTCTGGACCCTCGTCTCGAACAAGATCGAGGTACCCCCCCAACACCCGGGTGAAGAAAAAAAATGAAAAAAAAAAAAAAACAACAAAAATTGAAATCCCCCTCCTCGCAGTTGTCGCAGGTGCTAAAGTCGTACACGCTGAGCGAGCTCCAGCCGAGCATGACGTACGAGGTGCGGGTGAGGGCTCACAACGACGCGGGCTCCTCGATGGCCGAGTACAAGCTGACGACCCTGCAGCCGCACAGCAGCTCGACCGTGCCCGCAATTGACGTCGACCGCTACATACCCCAGCACACGACCGTCTACGCGGACGCCAAGCTCGTCGTTCCTCTAATACTCAGCTCGTGCGCCCTCGTACTCGCCGCCGGTGCTGTCTTCTACTGCCTACGGAAGCGTAAGTATCAGCCAAGGGGGGGGGGGGAGATACGTACCTCGATACGTGCCGTGCGTGTATATACAAATACATACACATATATGTACATGTACATGTATGTACTTGTTAATTAACGTAGGGCCTTTGATGGGTGACTTAGGGAGTCTCCACGACGCCCAGACGGCCGCCGCGCTGGACAATAAGCAGAACATGGAGCAACGCGAGCAGTACTACGCGACTGTGCGCAAGCCACTGCGCTCGCCTATTCACGAGATGGGTACGTTGGAAAGGATACCAGGTAAAACCGAGTTCATTGCGTTTCATCCTCCTCCCCTTTTTTTTTTTTTTTCTTCCCATTTTTATGGATACATGTACAATGTTGAGTAGGTATAATTTGGTTTCAATCGTACATCGGTGATGCACCCTCGCAATGTCGCCACCGTCCGTTGTTTTTTCTTTGCTTGCTTCGTCGGTATATAATATTATCTTGGTTTTACCTTGGAAATAAAAAAGTACTGAAAAACCAAGGAAAAATGTTGGCACACCTAATAGCTTCGCCGTAAACCTTGGGTTTCTTCCTCCACAACTTTTTGACTCAAAAAAAAAAGACGACAAAAAAAATCATAATTATAATAATTTCCATGATAAAAGAGTGACAATCATCGTATTCACCTCCGCTGCTTGATTTCACCTGTGCGCACAAATTCTCGGGAGCAAAAAAAACAATAATAATAATAATAATAATAAAATAAATGAATCTCATACGTTTTCCACACAGAGTACTCCGAGGACATCTACCCGTACGCCACGTTCCAGTTGAAGGAGAGCGTGCCACCGGGTGGCGACAGCCGCTGCGATTCAGCGGCACCCCTGCAGACCTTCGTCTACCACGACCCTCGACTCACCGCCGCCGACACGCTCCAGCTTCGCGAGGTAAGCCCATTTTTTTTGCCATCTCGTTTTGCACATACGTGTTTATATATATATATATATATATACCCTCCGCGGGGGGTGTGGATCTCGCGTTTGCCGGCCGCGAGCATGAGCGTCGCGTACGATTATGATTTTTTCTGGAAACCAACTTTTTTTTTCCAACCTTCCTGTACATCGCAATTTAGTAGCATCGGCTACTTTTCTATATTTATAATAATCATCGGGTACTTATTTCAAGTGACATTGATAAACTAAAGTAAAAGAAAAAACTGTGTGAGCTATTAAATTGTCGAAGCATGGATTGTTTTTTTTGATTGCAGTAAATATTTTTTTCACGTGTGGCGAAGTTTCTGGAACTGTGACAAGTTAACTCGAGGGATGATGACAAAAAGTGGGAGGGTATTGAATTTGCTTTACCCATGCATTTTCCAAGTCAGCCAATAGGTCCCAGAAACCTCGTCCAATGTAATACAAACAGATGGCATGATTCCTTTGTTCCTCTTTAACAATATTTGCACATAATGTACATGTTACGCGGAACGGAAAAAAAAAAAATGCTTCGCTCTCATGGAGAAAAAGAAAGAAGCCACCTCGCGTATCTTATCCCCGCGTAGTGGGGCAATTTAGTGACAGCCACAAAAATGTGTTGGGATGAATCTCCGCCAGTATGTGGTTATAGCACTTTCGCAAATATAATATATGCTGGTCCCGAGGCTCTTGAGCAGACTCGTTCGTTTTTTTAATTTTGAGGGCTTCCTGAATTTTTTTGAACCATCTACTTAACTCGTGTATGAAATGAAAAAAAAAAAAAAACCTCTTTCTTTTTCTCTGTAACTTGATCCTATACCTCTGCTTCTATTTCCATGTGTGCGTATCTCTAAATTTCTGTCTCTTTCTCCATCTGTCTCTCTCTCGGTCGCTGCGACTGCTGGTCCGCTCCATTTGCTTCGATTCGCAGTACAGCCAAGATATAGAATATATATGATTTTTGCATTCTTAGTTATTTATTTATTTATTTTTTTTTTTTTTTTTGGTCCCGTAAAATAAATTGTACATATTACCCAGAATTTTATCTCTTGCGTTCTCCGTCTTAGCGCTACTAAAGCAGTTCGACTAGACTATTTTTCAATTTTTCATCAAAAATACATAACTGAGCAGTTTAATCATACGTGATGGACTTTGAGCGCGTGTATTTGTTGTCAATTGGATTTTTCACGAGACCATGATTTTTGGTAAAGATGTACAGTGTTGTTTTACAAAATTAAAATCAAAAAGAAAAGAGAAAATAAGCTTTATTAAAATTTTTTTTTTTTTGGTTTTTTTTTTTTTTTTTTTTTTTATTTAGACGTATGTTAGTTATTAATTTCTGTCATAACCAAATGAATGTTCTACATGTTTGTTTAATTCTTAAGGAAGCAGTTTTTTTTTTTTTTTTTTTTTGGACATTTAAAATTTTTGTATCGCATCGACCAAATCTAGTATCAGATGTCGTTTCAAGTTCAGTCATTATTTTATTTGTCGAATAACAAAAACTACAAAAATTTTGAAAAGTCTGATTGATGACCAAAGTGTAGTGATTGCAATCAATTACCGAAGGTGAATATCCAAATTTCGAATGATCAAAAAATATTTCGATCAATTTTGAAAAAAACCGCCATCTGCCGTGTCCATCGTTTCCCTTGTGTTAAATATCAATTTTCCATTAAAGGGGTTTAACGAAAATACAAGAAATCTCTGCTCGCTCCGTCGCACAGTTTAACATTAACGCGTACCGTTGATCATTCGGAATCTCGATAGCCATCTTATCCGAGAGCAAAGATCCCTTTGCACAGGCAAAAACTAAAAAAAAAAAAAAAAAAAAAAAAAAAAAAAAAAAAAAGAAAAAAAATCTCCGTCTGATTGCAGTCGGATTGCAACCGGTACGCTAAGGTGCGCGGGGGCCGCTCGTCCTCTGGGCAGTTGCATAAAAAGACAAGTCAGGGCAAGTCCGAGTCGGAGGAGTACGACACCCTGGGCTCGGACAGCGACACGGAAGTCGGGACCAGCAGCCGAACCGAGTCTTCCAATCACCTCGTCGATTCCCACCACTCGGCCTCTGCGGCCGATGCGCGCGCTCACAGTACGCAAAACTCTTCTTCACTTCACTCTCTCTCTCTCTCTCTCTCTCTGCTTTATTTATCACTCTCCCCCACTCGAATCCATCCACTTTTTTATTGTTTGCCTTTGCTTGCCCTGTCCGGGATGTCGTACGTACGCGAATCGTAGCAATAAACGCAGGCTATAGATCGGTAACTCCGTACAATATATAATCGCGTTGCAGTGATTTCTATAATCCGTTTCGATTTTTTTTTTTGCCAACCATAACAATATGCAATTCTCCTCGTTGTCTTTTTTTTATCATACACATAAATATATATACATATATATATATGTATTCTTGGTGTTGAGCTTATTTTTTCATTCTTTCTTTCTTATACCTTTTTTCTTTTCGTTTTTATCTTATCTCAATCAAACTCACTTATCACACTCTGTCCTGTACTTTTGCAATACGTAATTGTTGTAAGATCGCTGTAAATTTAACTCTCGATGTTGTCATGGAATGGCTTATCTTTCGTTTGATCGTTATTGCGGATTATTCGATCAATGTGTTATACGTATACTTACCGATCGGAGCACCGAATATCATACAAATACTCCAAATCTCGCCCCCAATTTCCCACGTTTCGTTGCAAAGAAATGAAAACCATAATAATCCAACAGAGGTACGATTTGTCCGTTGCAGACTTCTTGTACCATGGACCAGAATCTAGCACGTCTACAGAACCCTCACCGATTTTTGAGAGAAAATCGTTTCCTGGAAGGGGACGACCCAAGTAAGCACCGCAACGTAAAATTTTGTCCATATACAGAAATGTCCGTGGCCATGCGATTAACTAAATCAAAAACACGTACAATCAGGATGCTACAGTTGGCGCGTTATACCGGCGAGGAGGCCAGGCCAAACAGCAACAACAGCCACGGTCCAGCAGCCCCAGGCCCAACAGGCCAGCGGCAGCCACCAGCACACGGGGGGCCTGGCCATCCCAAGCACCAGCCGGGGGGGCAGGAGCGTGACGGACCAGGGCATAACATGTTCATCCCCAAATTGGATCCACCCCGGGGTTTCACCGACGCGTTTGAACTGAACGGCGAGCCCGAGTACGAGCCGCCCCTGTTACCTCTGCACCTCAACCACCAACAACAACAACAACAACAACAACAACACCAACAACCACAACAGCAACAGCAGAGGAACAGCAGCAACAATCATCGCGACTTTGTCATCGCCGTGTAAATATATACGTATACCTAATACGATATAATGAAGCAAAGACTCTTTGACGATACGTTATATAATATACAATGCCCATCACGCGTCCGCACGACTGTATACCTCATTTAAACTGCCAAATGACCCTCGAGAGAAATACGCGACTGCATCGTCAAACCACGAGACTAAATATTATATATATATTATTATTATACACAATACCCCCCCCCCCATACCTGTGTTTTGCTCGTCATACTGCCCGATGTGGGAAAAAAAAATAAGCTGAACTCGTGGCGGCAGCGTATTGTACCCGATTCATCTCTATATTGTGTGTGACGATATGTGTAATTTTAAGGAGACACGCGCGAGATTTGATAGCTGAAGATATTATCGCGATCGATACATATTGTGTAGCGGGCTGTTGTAGGCAGTGACACCTGTGTCTGTCTGTCTGTCTGTCTGTCTGTCTGTGTGTACATTTTAAGGAGCCGAAAGCAAAGTACCTATATACATGTCTATCGAACCGCTGTTTGAGAAAATTGACTAGAGAGAGATTTTTTTTTTTCCGAGTGACTGGTGGTGCATGATGATACGGCGTGCAGAAGCACCGTGGCCGTGTATCTCGTATTTTGTTTATGTATATTATATAGGTGTAAGTGGAAGGGAATGAGACGGACGCATATACAAATATATATATATATATATTGATCTCGTTATAGTCGATGATAAGTACTTATTAAGCTATGTATACTAGAGTGTGATGAGACGGTGAATGGTGTGCGCGTGTGTATGCGTGAGAGAGCGAGGGAGAGGGTGGAGAGAAAAAATGAAACGAAGCAGGCCATGATCGTACATTTTTCCGGAGTGGTTGATAAATAAAGGTGAAAGGGAAATAAGGAGTTTAAAAGATAAATATGCGCCGGCAAAAATTGTCCTGTTGATATCGTACACTTTATAATATATATATATTATTACGAGAAATAAAAAACAAAATAGTGATTCTTCGAGGAAAACGAGGATCCGTAATATCTTGCGTTTTTCAAACGATTTTGAAAGATTGTTTATATTCTATTTACTTTGTAAAATGTACAATACAAGACTTATTCAGATTTGGAGGATTTGCGTTTATTTTTTACGTTTCAATCCCATTCATCACCCCCCTTTTTTTTTTTTTTATCCATACATTCAAAGAAAACTAAAGGTAAATAAGACAAAAATGGACGTAACAAAAAAAATGTTTATTTTACTTTTTTTTTTTATTTTTTTTTTTTATTTTGCATACATACTAAGCGTACACGTATTTAATGATAACAAAAATAAACGTATAACAATCAATACGCTCGCACACGCAACGTAACGTAACATAAAAATCTCTTCGCATTATGCAAGTGTTATTATAATTTTTTATTTTACTTAAGATAAATTATCTATAACTTATACGCTTGTATTATTTTGGGGGGTTTTTCCTTCCTTCAACCAAAGTCACGACTTTGGCTCTCACAGCGCGTAATACAAAATCGTATACTGATACTGCGTTTATGGAACTTACACCTTTGTAAAGGGTACAAAGCGAGGCTGAAAGTTGCACTCGATCGGCGATGAGACGACGAGTAATCGCACCGGGTTTCTAACGGAAAAACAAAGCACATGGTATACATGGATCTAACCAGCCCTGGACAGGCAGTTAGTTGTACTAAAAACCATACATCAATTATTGCGTTCCTTCTTTCCTGTAACATTTTCAGTTCCGCGAAAAAAACTTGCGAGAGAACAATACTGACTCGTTTTATCTCTCTTTTAATACTTTTTTTTTTTTTTTTTTTTTTTTTTTTTTTTTTTTTTTTTTTTTTTTTTTTTTNTTTTTTTTTTTTTTTTTTTTTTTTTTTTTTTTTTTTTTTTTTTTTTCTTCCTTACGCAACGTACTATTTTCTACACTACATCATATTATGTATGTATACTGTCGTGCGCTACCAACTACAATAATTCTTACGAGTCGATGCGATGAAAGGATCAAAAGGGTAATTCGTAATATCCATCGGTGAATAAATATGAGGAGGTAAGTATAAAAAAATCTAAACTCTTTCGTAGCAAAGTGCAAAACGCGTATCGAGAAAAGAGACACCGGGGAAGGATAAAAATTCCATCGCAAAATGGTCCCCGTTATGATGCATACCTATAATACACGCACACGCGGATAGTATATGGACACCAGTTGTCAAACAATAGAGTGTTTTTTGCCAAAGCACGAGCACAAAAAGCTCTTTTGTGTCGGCGGCCGCGTTACAAAAATACTCGTCTTACCGGCGCAACATTTGTACATCATACATAATATATATCATATTGCACGCACAATCACCTCTCGAAACCCGCCCAAAAGAGATCTCGCTTTATCTATTATCACACGATACATTCTACAGTTTTATCCTCGAGGGAGTATATAGCCTCTCCAAAAATAATCACATCCTCCAAGACGATCGTGTCGCTGGAACCCACTTGAGCACCTTTTTTTACGCATCCACACCTGTATCATTTGATTTCACCTCTCAAATGCAAACTACCGATTCGGGAGCGTGAACGTATACAGAGGAGTGGATAACCCCGCTCTGCACGACAAAAATAACAACATATAGTAAACAGTAATAGTAGAAGTAGCAGTAGTAGTAACAGTTGTAGTGGTAAGCCGTGTAAGGTGCGTCGCTACAGATGCCAATGGGGGTGGGGGTAAGGGATGATGGTTTTCAGCTGCCCACTCGTTGGGGCAGTGGTAAGTGGCAGATGACGTTGTGCACGGGCATGGACAGCCAACCAGCCATCGCGATACCTATCGAATCGGCCATGGACGCAATACCCAAAGACACCTCGCGCTGCTCCCAGGGAATCTGCAAGGAGTTTTCCATACATCGATAAAATACACCGTTTTTTTGATGAATAAAAAGAAAAATAACAAAAACAAAAACAAAAAGGCTTCTCTGCTGCGCGGTATTTGGTACAAAAAAAAAGCTGTTAGTACAGGTGCAGCAGTGCTAGTGTCAACAGTTGCCGATAACAGGCCAATGGGCGGGATGTATATATATATGCATATTGAAGGCCGGGAAATGTAACGCGTCATCGATGCAGAGATTGTAAATTAACATATTATACGGGACCCACCTCTTTTGACATTCTGTAGAAGGTGTTGACGTAGGCCGCGCCTCCGAGCAGACCCTCCCACAGCACCAGAGTAAAGACGATCCATATGGTCGGGATGTAGTAGTAGACAGCTTCAAACGTCAACAGGATGACGTTCACCATCTAATGCACAATGTAAGGGGGGGGGGGGGG